ACACACTGGCCCAGCTAACCAATCACAGCACATTTCGGATTTCAGAAGGCGGGCCTTCATTTGATACAGGAACTATTCGAGCCGTTCATGCCAGACTGGGGAGAGAGGTGTTGTAATAATGTAAAATATGTGAAAAATAATGTGTTTTTCCAACAACCTAGTATGAGAGCCTGTTCTAGCACACCCCCAAAACAAAATCAAGACTTTGTAAAAGAGCATAATAGGACCCCTTTAAAGCTATTGGAGGCTTGTTACCAGTGTAAGATAAAGTAAATGCAAAATTAAAATGAAATATTTTCAGGATAAATAATTGCCAGCTGGCAAATATCACAGACAATTATATGCTTAATAAATCGAGAGAAGAAGAAATTTAAATTACGATTGATCATGCAGCACTACTTTATGGTGATTTTTAAAACATTTTTGTACGAGGGATCAATATGAGGGCGAGTAATTGGAGAGAGAGATGCAATTTTTCTTGAGGTTAAAAAGCAAATGCTGACATAAAAACACTAAATATTTTGACACTCACACTGCCAAAATATTTGTCCAGCAGCTCCACATATCTGTGGATTATTTCCAGAGTTATCAACTCATTTTCCTGGTCCTCCACAGCACAGCAAAAGTACAGGCTGGCATATCTGAAATGCAAAATAAGCTCACCACATAAATTCAAACAGTACAAAGAAAGTGAAATGCTTTGCTCTGTTCCTCTTTGTAGTGTAAAGCTACCCAGTACAAACCATTGAAAACAAGATCATTTTGTCCTGAGCAATCATTCTCATCTACCTTGTTGACAATATCAAAGGCAATATGACTGTGATTAATGTAGCACTGGGCAATATAATAGACCAAAAGTTGAGAACTGACAGTAAAAACTTACATTTGTATCAAATATATAAAACAAAAAACCCTCAACCATACTCAAATATAACATGACAGGTTCATTAGGGAAATTGATTTTTAATATTTCATTTTAAACTGAGGTTGTTAATCAATGGTATATGCTTTTGATGAAGCCATCATCAGCCCATATTATTTCAACTTACTTTTTTAAATCGTGTTTAACAGTGTGAATCCTGGTGAGAAAATACTGATATATATATATA